ACGTCTAGCCATTAACTCTCCCCGTACCCGTTATCTCCTTCACATCATTCAATCCACCAACTTCCACGTCCTCCCCCTTCAAGCAACTCATCATAATATTGAGCACCAGGATACTTGGCTTGACCTAATTCTTATCTCTGCTCCTAACCGGGATCACTCCCATGGTCAACTTCCTGCTCCTGGATTTCCCATCATCTAAAAAAAAATTATATAAGTATTTATATCAGTTGTCTAGTACCCATAGTACAAGCTCTGCTTATTTTGGAACTAGATGGGGTTGTGTGAATGTGGTAAGATATTATTATTTTTATATTATTATTATAATCCTTTAACTTTTCTCCGGCATCTTCCGAGGATATCAAAAAGATCATCATGTCTATCCATTTCAATGCTATGGGTTGTGACTGCATCAGCCATCGGATGATTGTCACTATCCTTATCACTAAATTTTTCCTGCAATAGCCACTATCATTAAATTTAACTCGACTCCGGTGATTGTCTGTCAATTCTTTCATAATCCATTTGCCCAAAAAAAATAACCCCCCCTATCGACCTATTTTCATGCTCCCCTTTCGTTCAAAAGTGCTTGAGGCTTATGTACATAAGCAGCTATCGCAGTTTGTGTACCAGCAGAAGCTTCTGAGCCCTTAACAATCTGGATTCAGACCTGGTCATAGCACAATTACCGCTCTCCTAAAAGTGACTGGCGCTATTAGGGAGGGTATAGAGGACACCAAAGTCACAGTGCTGGCTTTGAATGATTTCTCGAATGCCTCTAATACCGTCAGTCATGATGTTCTGCTATCCATCCTTTCCTATCTTATGATCTGCCCAGTATTTTCTGCCCACTAAAACCAAGGCTAAGCTTATGCAGTCCCTTAATCGATTATAGTGATGTGTGTTATCTTGACCTGAATGCAGACCGATAAACTAGACCGACTTCTTAATAACTGCATTCGATTTGTTTTTAATCTTCGTAAGTATGATTGTGTCTGCTTTACATTCCCAACTGAAATGGCTCCCGATTCGTCAACGCCGCAGTCTGCGCGCACTAACATATTTTTTTTTCTTATTCCCCATCGGTACCTGAGTACCTAGTTCCTCATCTCCGCCTCCTTTGCTCCAATCACGACCGAAATCTTCAGTCAACAAATAATGCCTTGGGCAGTCCGCCTGTGTACAACTTGTGCATTAAGTTTTATAAATAAATAAGTTTTTTTAATTATAAAATTTATGATTATAAAATACTAAGAATACAAATAATTGTTTTGATGTTTTGGTTTGGTATTAATATATTTGCCAATATTAATAATTTAAAAAAAAAACATTAAGTATTTAAAATATACAAAATTAGTTACTTTTACACATCTTTAAAGGACCAAAGTAGATGAAAAAGGCTAAATTAACGCTTTTTGAATAATTAAATCTAGCCCATTTCAACCCAAAAAAGACACAGGTTTGCGCGTTCACCGCAAAAAAGATACCATTTGACGTATCACCTCAGTTTTTGAGCGCCTCCCTAACTGTCTCAGCCAGCAACAGAATCCTAGGCATCGACATATCGAGCGAAGTCCAGTGTCACTTAGAGGGTAAGGTCAAATTGGCCTCGAAGAAACTCGATGTGCTAAACAGATCGAGGCAGTATTTCACTACGGCCCACCGCCTTCAGCTCTATAAGGCGCAAGTCCGGTCGCATATGGAATACTGTTCTCATCTCTATGCAGGGGCACCTCAATACCAGCTTCTCCCTCTGGACCGCATCTAACGAAGAGCGACTCGAATCGTCGATAGCCAAAAGATTTGCGACCGGCTCGATTCGTTGGTGTTACGTAGAGATGTAGCTTCACTCTGCATTCTCTATCGCATATATCATGAAGAGTGCTCCGAGGAATTGTTCGGACTAATACCAATCGCAAATTTCCACTCGGCAAAATTTTCATCCTTATTACCTGGATAGTTGGCGCTCCACTACTGTGCGCTTTTCGAGACAATTTTTGGAACGGGTTATCATCTGCGGTATTTCCGTACCGATACGACCTTCAAACCTTCAAGAAAATAGCGTACTCCTTCCTAAAAGGCCGGCAACGCATTTGTGATTCCTGAGTAGCAGACGTTCATGGGCGGCGATGGTCACTTTCCATCAGGTGACCCGTCTGCTCGTCTGCCCGCTCTAACATAAAAAAAAACTTGTCTGACAAGGTGTAGGTAGAAGGAAATATTCCATGTTTATTCAACAATAAATAAAGATCAGACGTGGTCAGTAAATCCACGTATCCGCAAAGTATTTAACCGTGACATTTAAAAACCTAAAAATATAAAATACAATTACAAAGAATTTCGATAAACAAATATTGTTGCTGAATATACACAAAACTTAATTAAACTGTCTTATGATGTAAATGATATGTACATCGTAGCAGACGCAATCAGGGTCCTATTCAGCAGAAAATTCATGAGACATCAAAATATTTGCCGTGAAATTTAATTTAGATCGTGCAAACATGTGAACTGAAGCACAAATGACATTGTAAGCTGGGTTTAAGCAGACAAGAGGCAAGCAGTGGGTACGTCTAGGTGTCTGCCAGATAACTACTTATATCAACTACTACGAGCAAGTATTAACACTTGCCACACCCTACTTTAGAAGTTTTATATATACATATAACCAAGAATGCTTAAAATGTTCCAACGTTTTGTTTAATAATCTTTCTACTGGTTTGTTACTGTTTATATTATAGTATTTTTCTAGATATTTAAAATGAAAACTTTGGAAAAACTAAATTTTGAACCTCAATAAAATAAACAAATGTCTGATCCAAAATTCATTGTAATCTCCTAATATCTACATAGAAGATAATTGTTTTTTATATATTTCTTCCTTTGTCTTGCGATATTTTTTTATTTATTAATGAATTTTAGCATGTTTTAACAGTTTTAATTTCGTTGCCTATATTGAATACAACTATTTCTAGAGAAGAACTCGTGCTACAACTCAAAGATAGTGTATATTTTTTTAAATGTCAGCTGATATAAATGTTTCTGTTGATATTAACAGTTTTTTTGTTTCATAAGATGGTTATATTTCTCTGTACTGTATTTTGTTTGTTTGTTTGAGTTGTATATTATGTAGACATTGCGTGACCAAATTGGCTGTAAAAAATAGCCTGTGATATAGAGAAGCTCCTTTCTAAGGAGAGGCTTATGTCCAGCAGTGGACTATTAAAGGCTGTTGATGAAAATGCTAGAGAAGCGTGACAGCAGAGTGATATCAATATCATTAATCTCATCATCTGCCTACCCTTTTCCCAATTTTATTTGGGGTCGGCGCAGTATGTATGATTTTTCCATTCTACTCTGTCATGCGTCATCTCACTGTTTACTCCCTTCCTAGCCATATCCTCCCTCACGCAGTCCATCCACCTTTTCTTCGGTCTGCCTCTTCTCTTGTACCCTTCAACTCCCATACCTAAAACTTTCTTCGCCACATTTTCCTCATCCCTCCGCATGACATGTCCATACCAAGATAACCTATTACTTCTTAACTTTTCATCCAGTGGCGCTACTTTCAGACTCCCTCGTATATACTCATTCCTAACCTTGTCCATCTGAGTCACACCACACATCCATCTCAGCATTCGCATTTCGGCTACGTTCAGGTGTCTCTCATCCGTTTTCTTAACGGGCCAACTTTCAGAACCATACAGGACGGCAGGTCTGATAATAGTTTTATAAATTTATCATTAATCATCATATATCATTAATCTGAAGCAACCTTAAGGCCGGTGTTAGTGACCATGACTGCTAAACCGGAGGCAGTGAGCTCGATTCCCAGCCAGGATAAACTTTGTGTGATGAGCACGATAATTTTGTCTGTGTCTAGGTGTAATTTATCTATAATATGTATGTATTTAGAAATATATAAGTGTGTTTATCAGCAGATTGGTTAACAAGGCCGTTGGTGGCCGTGTGTGAGATATTATTGGTATTATATCTTTCATTATCTGTCACATTCTTTTTTGTGATACAGGAGGCAAACAAGCAGACAGGTCACCTGATAGAAAGTGATTATCACCGCCCATGAACGCCTGCAACTCAGGAGTTACAAGCGCGTTGCCGGCCCTTTAAGGAAGGTGTACGCGCTTTTCTTCAAAATCGTCATCAGCTTATCGCAGTCCACTGCTGAACATAGGCCTCTCCCGTTCCACGCATTTCAACCGATTTTCGGCTTCTCGCATCCATCTCATGCATGCCATCTTGCACAAGTCATCACTCCACCTTTCCTGTGGGTGTCCTATACTACGTTTACCTAGATGCGGTCTCCACTCAAGAACTCGTTTACCCTAACGGTTGTCGGTTCTGTGACTGATATGGCCAGCCAACTGAGATATGTCAATGACCTTGGTTCTCTGCAGGATCACCTCATTCCTGAGGCGTTCTCTCAGAGAAACGCCGAGCATAGTCCTTTCTATAGCACGCTGAGCAACTTTAAGCTTGTATAACACGAATTCTTCTATTCATCTCGGCCTCGAAGTTGTTTCTACCTAACTGAAATGTCTGTCCCCTCTTTACCTAATAATAAAATAAAATATTAAAAATAAAATAAATAGTATAAATTTAAAAAATGAAATATTTGAAAGTAACATGAAATGTCATTTACTTTATACATTCCTACATAACAGCACTTTGTTTTGAAGGGTGTGTTATAATGATGTATGATTATCTAATGAGCTCGTTTAAGTGTCTGTGGTAGTGATTGCTGAGCATCTATATCACGTAATTACTTTCAAAATGAGCGTACTCTAGCACCATCCAGCCACATTCAGCTGTTCACCATTGCCTTTACCCTAGTACTTTTCTTCCCAAACAGTTGACGATTATACGAACTATATGGCCTGCTATCGCCATTCAATCTTATTGTTTATTAGTCGTTCTATAGATAATATAAATATTTTATGAGTATTATAATATGAGTATTTAAAGCACTTCTTTGTTTTTAATAGACCGTCACAGAAGATCGGGATCTCTTGATGAGGCAGCCGAAGATAGCAGTGACAATGGTGGTAGCACGCCCAAAAAGAAAACGGCGATTGAGGAGCAATGGGAGAGATCCGGTGGATTTGAACTCACATCTGTCGAACAAGAGACTTATGAGAAATACTTTTACGGAACGGAGCATTGGAACTACTTTACCAATGATGAAGACCTCGGTCCTGTTATATTGTCCATAAAACAGGAGACCCTTAATGCAAGGGATCAGTTCAGGTAAGGTCTTTTCTACACCAGGAGTTTTCTACACTAACTATTTACCGTATAGTTATGAAGAAGCACTAGGTATCTATCTATATGACGGGCCTGTTGGTCTAGTGGTCACTACACAGGACAACAGCACTGCAAAGAGCACGAAAACTTGAAACAAATCCTATACTAACCCGTCTGGCCAGCGTGGTATAGTAGACCAAAACCTCCTTTCTAATGAGAGGCCTATGTCCAGCAGTGGACTATTTAAGGCTGTTGATGAAGACGATGTATATATTTAGAAACATAAAAGTATGTTTATCAGCAATCTGGTTGTCATAGTACAGGCTCTACTTAGTTTGAGATCAGACTGCCGTGTGTAAGATGTGTAATTGGATAGATAGATGGTTATTGTTATATTATTATAGCATATTATAAACTTTTCAATCTTTTAATCTCCATACGTTTTATCCAAATTTACAAATGGGATAATTTCATTCAGATTTTCTATCTCAGTAGCAAATTAACGAGTATATCACTGTTTCATAAGGAATGTTAAATGTTGATCTTATAATATATTACAACCTAATGCAATTTTAAATCATCTATGTAGCTAGGGAAATATTTGGGATGTTTCAAATCTAAGCCTCTTCCCCGAAACACGAGTAATGGAATTTCATTAGTATAATATTGTCGTACCGTTACTCTACCGATCGCGGCCGACGAGTGGTTAGCAAAATATGTAATACCTATCGATGTAGCAGGTCTGGAGGATTATATTGAAAATAATTTGTGCTATTATTTACATTAAGGGCCCTAAATATTATCCTATCGGAACATTTATATACTCGTATATATATTATATATATACATAAAAATAATAATATATATATATGTATATAAGAAATGCTTGCTATGTTAAGGGACAAGTACCTATCTTCTAGAGACAAAGGTTAGGGTTTCGTTGAACCTGGTATAGATAGTTCAACTCAGTTGTGCGCGCGGCCCTATCAGTATCAGCGGCAGTCGTCGTCCGAGCACCGCGTCACTGCCACACGAATGAAAGTTGTATATTTACAAGCCCACGCACACATAGGGCCGCGCGCACAACTGAGTTGAACTATCCATATAACCTTAATAATTTAGGCCAGGTATTCCTAAAGTGATCGATATCGACCCCTTGGGGTCGAAATCAGTTTCCCAGGGGTCGATATAAACGAAACTGATATTAGGGGTATACAAGTTCTAAAAATCGACCCCTATTAATTAAAACAAGTTCGCATTTGAAACTTTCCAGATACAGTATTAGTGGTGCTACGTGTACCAACTTGTTATTAGGAAGACTAATATTTAAGTAGAAATTATCACTGTTGTACTTTAAAAAAAGCCAACAAGTCGTTAAGCATACAGTAATTTGGCAGTAATTAAGCATACAGTAAATCTTACAAATATTAGTGGAAATAAAACTTTTTTGGGTATGTGTATTTCAACTGTAGGTATTTAAATGAACTCCAGTGTCACTTTAATTAAATATTTACTATCAATTTTTTTATACACGTTTTAGTTCTAAATTTAGGTAACATTTGAGTTTCGTCTGTTGCAATAAATTATATATTAATCAAATGTCGACCCCAGGTTAAACCGGGTTGACGGGTTGGAAAATCCCGTCGGATCTGCCAACTCCTTTGAGACTCACGAGTCAGAGTATGTGGTGATTCCACTAAAAACCACCCCGACGGCCAGCCTCGGGCGTCCTACTCTGGGAGGACCCGGACTATGTAATTTCAGGTCCTACCCGAAAAGAAACCACGCCTAACCAGGCCCTATCCCAGGGGAAATGACTTCCCCCCCTCAATCGGGGCGGCGTGGCGACCCAATTGCGTCTTAAAGCGATCAGGCCACCATCCTATCCCCTACCGCAGCAATTAATCTGCCAACCGAGTTCCCCACTCTGGCGGCCCGCGGGCCCCGTCGACGTCTGGTATAGCCGCCGACGTCCGCTCAGGATCGAACCTCTCCCGATCCCGTTCAGCGGTCTCTTTCTAGAGCATTCCAGCTTGCCAGAAAGAAATCACGGCGCACCAGCCCTTCTCACCCGCCACTATGGCAGCGAGGATTGCTGGCGGAGACAGGTCTCGTCCGATTTAGTCGACCAGGACTTCGCGTTCAGACGCAGGACAGTCTTCCAGCGTGTGCTGGGCGGAGTCCCAGTCGGTTACATAGTGCTGGCATTGTGCCGTCTCCTCTCGTTCGACCCGATTCAGGTACTCTCCGAAGCAACCATGCCCAGTGAGTACCTACCTGCGTCAGTCGGTAGGTGACGCGACCGTCCTCCCGACGGTGCCGATGGCACCACTACTCCAGGGCCTTTTTTTTTTTTTTTTTTCCCCGTGCGAAAATCCCCTCGGATACCACCTGTCGGTGGCATGTCGGACTCGAACCGACTAAAACCGCACGCCTTCGCCGGGTACTAATAGCCGGGGAACCAGGTATACCCTAGAAAGGAAGGCCCTGGTGCCCCGACATACCTCGGGTCATCTACAGACGAGTAGACGACCCCCGCCCCGTGTGGGAACCCCATGTTCCCTGTGCTCCCTGGAAGCGAGCGCGCTTCGCAACGCGCTCGCCGCCACCCCGGCCTGCTTCTGCTAGGGTGACAGATGGCCTCACCTGTCACCCCCAGGCCTGCGCTTATGGAGGACGAAGGTCGTTCTGCGACCTCCGGCGCCTGAGTCGCCTGCGCTGCCTGGCCCGTGCCCGGGCCTGGCGGGCCGGGAGAGTTCTAAACCTCTCCCGGTCCCGCTCCGCCGTCTCCTTCGCGAGCATAACTTGCTCGCTGAAGGAGACGGCAGAGTTCCACGCACTCTCGCTGCGCACGATAGCCGCAATCAGGCTATCGAGCGAGAGAACTACTCCAGGGCCTGTCGCTGAGGCACCCCAGGACAACCCTAGTGGCCGAAATATACTAAAGTAAAACAAAAAGCAATTGATTGGTAAGTGTACATTGCCAAAGCCTAACAAAACTCTTTTTGTATGAGTGAAGTGTCACTAAATGTAAGCTTGCGCCCAAAATGCAGCTAATTTATCTTACTCTTTTATTCTCATTAAAATTATTTTTCTTTTAAGGAAACTCTTTACTAAATTTAAGCAAGTAATTGACTAATTTTCCTTTTAACTTACGCGTAAAATAAATAACCTTTCCCTCGTTCTCTTTCTACATGGAATTTTTTTTTTTGTATATTCTTACTTGGGGTGCATTTTAATTAAAAATGGCAGGCTATTGTATAACAGAATAGGCCTTTGTAAAGTGTTTGTAGGGATCATAATTAACTGGCTAGTAAAGACGATGACCTCACCGGAGTTTACCTCCACGACCCTCTCGTAAACCAAGAATTCAATTAGCATAATGTAACAGAACCTTGGTGTTTACCACGACGACGGTATTTAATATTGTGTAATGAATACACTTGATTTACGAATCTCTATGGAAATTTACCTATCATTGTGAACTGAGGTAGCATTAATACGTTGTTTAATTAAGATAATACTCCTTAGAGTTTAACTACCTACGGTCGGGCAAAGACAATTCGCCTTACGGCCAAGCCGACTCTTAGTCGTAAAAAGTAATAAATGTCTCAAACCATCTTTAATGGGCCACCATTATTGTAGATTGTTAAGTTAGAAGTACATTACTAATGTACTTCTAACTTAAACATACAGGTGTTAATGCTGACGAATTTTAACTAGACGTTTAGGTATTTAATTAAAGCAAATTTCGTTCTTTGCAATACATAATATATAGAGTTACAGACAGAACTTAATGTCAGAAGATCATTTTCACAAGTGAATAGTATATTACACTCGTACATACGAAGATATTAGTCTTGGTATCCATTTTTTACACTATTTTTTTATAATAATGCCCACGGCATTCTCTGCCAGTCGAACGGTGTAGAAAAATTATGCGGTAGGTGCAAGATAAAACAGGAAAATTGATAAATTGATATTTAATTTAATTTAATTATCTTAATGTATGTATGTAGGTATGTAATTAATTTAACTATGTTAATGAACCTAAATGGAACAAAAACGGATATAGACAATTGAACCGGAGCTCAACTCGCGTTATATTTTGTCCAAAAATCCCTACAGTCATAAAACTAGGTGCAAAAGTGTAACAAACTTCAATCCATCCTTACAAACCATCACATTTATAATCCTATTATAACTTTTTGCTTCTTTCAATACTTGATACCTCATTGATATGAGAATAAACAATTGAAAATCTTTAATTGATAGTCAAGTTAATGTACCAGTAAAACTTTCTCTTATGAGAAATAGCTTCAGTTTCAATAACCTACCGTCTATATTATTTTATTTTATTATACCTACTTCTCAATCTACTCTCAGTAGTTCTTTCTGAGAAATAAAATTGAATTTTATCGTGATACGTCACCCTCGTTGTACGAGCTTCATTTCATAAAATTGGGCATTTTATTACGAGCCTTTGAAAATGATCGCACCGACAAATTGAAATACTCATTGTACAGGTATTGACATCGTTCTCTTTATACATGGCTGTGTTTCTATTTGTTTCGTTTTAATTATCATTGAAGAGATAGTATAAGATCAATCATTTTTCTGTCAGCAATAAAAATATCCTTCCAATAACAATCTTTTATAACATTATCAATTTACAAAATTTAATGGTTGCTTTTTTAGAAAATTTGGAAATTCGTTTTATCTTAAATCTGACACATTCAATGCATTTTAATAATAATAATAATAATATTATTACATTTAAAACAAATAAATTAACGCAAATATTAACATTTTTATTACAGTATAGAAATACTTTCGTGATAGCAATCGAAAATTGTTTGCACTTCTCACGCTCCTTGGTTCCTCCAACAAAATTATCTACCAATACCAAACTTTCAATTAGCGCATTTACACATTCCGTTCTTCTTTCTTTTCTCAAGTACGCTGATGTCTGTTTTCTCGATATCATTAAGAAGAAGCCAAAT